TTTGGGTCTTCCTTGTTGAGCACACACTTGGGTAACATGGAGAGGACGCATGGTAAGACTGCTTCATCACTCACTGCCCTGTCCTCTCGCAGCAGCTCACTGCCACTGGTGGTATACTCCCGAAACAGTCGGCAGAGTTGTTCAATGGAGTCACCACATATTACTTTGACTTCCAATGCTTCTGCTACTTGCCTGGCCTTTAGAGTCAACTTGACTTGAAACGCGAGGACAGTGGCAAACTGTAGTTTACGGGCCTTGAAGATATCCCCAGGGGTTACAGGTCCAACGCCAAGAGCACTGACAGGAATAGCCACCTCCGGGGATGTCAAGCACTCGACCAACCCTTTCAAGGACATGAAAGTAGAGGCTATAACATAAACTCCCTCCCCATGCTTGTTCAAACTTGCTATCACAGATGTCATTGCATCTTGCTGCTTTTCCAACTCCCATTGCAGATGTATTTGCTTAAACCACAAATAAAAATCCTTTAAGAGAGGGTTTTTTTCCTTATGTCGAAAACTATATATCTAAAACGGGACAGTATTACCCCAAATAATAATATATAGGATAGGATGCTCGCTCACATCTGATCGATCGTACAAATTCTACATTCGTAAAGATACAGATACGGATCGGAGAAACCAGATTGAACCAAAATAATTACCTTATTTGTTAGCTCTCCGTTCCAAGCTGCTCCTTCTCGCATCTCAAACCCAACTGCTAAACGTCGGAACCACGACAGAGCTCGATCCATTGATTTAGCTAAAGCGAAGCAAAAAGATCAAAGATAAAAAAAAAAGATGGAATGAGAGAAGAATAAGAACTTTTTCGAACAATATATAAGCGGATCAAACATCGTCGGGGAAAACCTAATTAATGAAATCTCTTTTCTTTTTTAAGGCCAATGGGCCCAACAAATTTCTTGTAGGCCCATTTTAAACGTTCTCCAACAAATTTCTTTTAGGCCCATTTTAAACGTTCTCCAACAGAGGATGTGCTTAAATATCCGAGTAATTACGACACAAAAAAAAAAAAAATCCGAGTATTTATGTATATGATTCTGTTTTTATTTAACTACGAATCTTCCGTCACAGTATCTTATACAACATCCAAAAGGAGGTACAACTTCAAAAATAAAGGAATTGCACGTTGCAATTGATAATTCAAACAGATTGTTGATTGAGAACAAAAGATTTACAATGTTGCTTTGTCTATCTTGTTGTAAGCCTCATAACAGAGGCTTTATTGTGTTCACATACAAAGAAGAGTGTTTCTTTTTTTTTTTGCTTCTGGAGTCTGCAAACTAATCATGTCATCTTAATATCTTATTCGGACCTCATACAAAATCCCCACAAACTAAGTAATAAAAAAAACTCGCTCAAGGAACAAGCTTTGAATATTCACTAAATCCTTTACACATCTTTCTTACACCTAAAACCAAGTGCACTATCACTGCAAAGGTGCTTTCGAGTTACCTATGAGCTGTTGGTGTGCGCGGCATGGTGTACGGCATTTGACCCATGTTCATTGCTGCACCAGGAACCACCGAGCCAGGGACTGGAGCAGCATGGACTCCATAAGCCATGTGAGGTGGAGCTGGGAGGTTCACTGGTGTTCCAACTGTTGAGACCAATGGTCCACCTACTGGTTGACCTATGGTGGGTGTTCCATACATAGGAGCTCCAGGTGGTGCTTGAGAGACGGCTTGCTTGGCTGATTTGTTTCCTCCTCCAGCAACAGCAGGAGAACTGGTGTTGTTGTTGTTGTTATTGCTGTTGTTCTGACCAGTGATTGGTCCTTGTGGCGTTGAGACATCTGCGTTGCCAACACTAGTGATGTCGTGAATGCTTGATCGCCTTCTATCTTTGTTCATTGAGTTTAGACGAATGAAATACTTTTGAGCGTGGCTCGCGACTTGGGTCGGTGTTCTTGTTACTACAAAGTTGCGAGAAATGCTACGCCAATCACCTTTCCCGTACTTATCCAAACCAAGAAGAAATAACCTGTAACATAGAAAAGACAAAGACAACAGCTCATTAGAATCATTGCATAACCAAAAGGGCAGAAACTCCTCGGCCATAGTATCAAACATGAAAACACACAAACCACTGCCAAACGGAAACAGTCTAAAAACAATTGCAGGAAGCACATTAAGGTCATGTCTTGCATCTACCTCAACAGCCAATCTGCAGATAGAATGCCACAAGTATACAGAATCCTACTTCTCAATTGCTTCTCCACTGGATTTTAATTTCCTAACTAAGAAGGAAAGACATTTCTAGACACCGGTACAAAGTGTTTGAAAATGAACCTCGTGATTTCTTGTCCTACTTTTCCTATTCAATAAGCTATGCCTTTTCTAATTTACCAGGAGGATCTATCACCGCCAAAACTCAATTTCTCAAAAAAGCACATGTAAACTACCAAATTATCAAGATGACACGGGAGTAGATCAAGATAATGGCAAAAACACAAGTTTATAAAAATGGTGTAAGAATCTGTTAAAAAGGCTTCAATCAGACAAATAAGCATTTTTTTTAACTCTCCCAGCAAAAGATTCAATCAACAAAGATAGACTTTACTGTTACATCAGTTTCCCATATCTTTAGCAAGTGAGAAAACAGTCCGGAAATTGATTATATGCCACTAATATAGCCATTATATACTTAACTCTAGTTTTTACCCCTTATCTACCCTAATAAGGTCCCAAAACCACTTGCATCTTCAAGAGAGAAAAATGAAGACTAAACTTCAAAGTAAGATTTTCTTGTCTCTTTCTAAAAGGAAGGTGGGGTTTCTCCAATAACAGAGGTTGGATGGACTGTTTCACCATGAAAAACAGCATCTAGCTTCAACAAGTGGTGAAAAAGACGGTCAAAATGGTCCCGGGGGTTAGATAGTATCTCCCCATCATCTCTAACATGGTGGATATAATGATATAGCAACTAGGACAGGAAGGTAAAGCGAATTTATGAGAACAGCTTTCTCTGTCCCATGCCAAGTTATAGTTTCAATAAATTCTGAGACTTTATAACAATCACGAAACTAAAACCACTTCAAGAAATCTCTACTTTTCCTTCAAGCATCCTCTAGAGTTACCTCGGGTCAGTCCCCCCTAAAAAAACCTCAATCCTTCCTTTTTTCATTTAAAGTATCAGATAGAGGAGACCAAGAACCTAAAGGTCTTGCTTCTAAGTACAGTATGACTTTGAAAACTCTTGATTTCTTAAAGGTTCACAGAATTAGACACCCAAGAGTACCTAAAATTGTCACTTAGAGAAATAATATTAAGGTTCTCGAACACAATGAAGACATGGAGCACAGAACAAAAATAATTTTGAAAGAATATTAAAAGAATGAGAAGAAGCAGAAAGTGATTAGCAGCATAAATAAACAAGGATCACCTGTGCTCATCTTCTGTCCACGCAATACCCTTTCGTCGTTCTTGATCGGACTTTGATTTACCTCCTTGGTTAGACTCTCCCGCATGATTGTTACCTCCTTTCTTACTACTTCCTCCTTCATCACCAGCATGACCATTTGATCCTTGAGGAGACCCATAGGCAGGAAGAGGCACACATCCTGATTCAATCCTACTAACATCTTCAACTAAAAGCTCATAATGTTCTTTAATCTGTTCAACACTTTTCCCTGGAACATCAGCAGTAATCTTCTCCCAGCGTTCCTCTGATTCATCAGTATTATTAGCTAGAGCTCTCTCAAAGGCAATATCATCCTCCCTACTCCACACAGAACCATCACTAACTTCCTCCACCGTCATGTTTCCAATCAAACCCGCACAAATTCTACAGAATCTACCCGAATCCCTCTAAAAAATCTGGGATATCAACCAGATTTCAGCAAATTTCGTGTCTTTTAGATCTCCACAAACTAGAAACTGATTTGCAGACAAACTTAGTAGAATCCCAAAGCTGAGAAACACACGAAGAACTCAGATCTTCCAAGTATCACTGAACCTAGCTAAAAACTAGCCTTGATATTCCAATCAAAGCCCAACCATACAACTAAACTACGGATATAAAGAGACAAGCTTGGGGAATCGAATATGGATTCGCACCTCCCACAAAATCAAATTCCCTCGCAAAAAAAAAAACCCTACTCTCTCTACTGATGAACTAAGACGCAAAGATGAATAAAACTTATCGTTATGAGATAGAAGCACGAAGAAATATATATATATCTGATAGCCAAAAGCAAAACGGAGATTGAAACGAGGGAAAAAGAGGATTGGCAGAAGAAGAAAAAATGTGAACTTTATAAGAAAATCAAATTGGGGGTTTTCTAGGGATTGCAGCAACTTGAAGGAGAGAGAGAGAGAGAAAGGGAAATTGGAAAAACCCAGAAGACTGAGAGAGAGAGGTCAAAACGCCATTGTTAAAGGAAGGGGAAGTTCAAACCATAAGCGCCCACACATTGATTGATAGATAGCAACAGTTTTCACAGCACAAGTCCGCTGTTATTTTGGTATTGTTGACTCTCTAACTTTTTGTTTTAGTTCCAATTAATCTTTCTTTGTTGACCAAATTATGCCATGTATTTTTTACTCATCGTTGGTGATTTTATTTTTGGAATAGCATGTGACTAGATATTTTATTTGGTGACATTTGGGGTCTAAGGCAATCATTGATGAATAATAATTATTTTGTACGGTGATTATATGTTTTATCATAAGGCAATTTAATAGTATATCAAACTATTTGTAGAAATTGTTCAAACTTAAGCTCTGATTCGGAACCTCTTTATGTTCTGACGTTTTTCCAACAACAAAAATGCTAATGACTCTCCGAGTCATGCAAATGCAATACTGGGTTAGTCCTTGTATAGGAAAACTTTTGAAAAATTATACTATTCATTTTTAGGAAGATTGTATATTTTAAAATCTTTTGAACCTTTACAAAAACCATACTATTAGTTAAAATAATTGTTGACACAAATTATAAAACTATTAAATATGAAATCAACAAACCTCTAATTTTCTTTAAATAACCGGACGATCGCAAATAAAAATTCGATAATAATTTATAGATACGTGGAAAATCTAAAATGCTATCTAAAACGTATATAACGGTAAATCATAATTAAAAGATTAAAGACTAGAATTAGAAATACGTCATTTTGTATAAGTTCAAAATGTTGTCGCAATATATTTAAAAGATTCCGATCAATAGTACATTTGATAATTTGGTGATCGTGTAGATTACAGAATCAAAATTATACAAAATTAATAATTCAAAGTAGACAAATTGGGAATTATTTCAACAAATCCATAATCACTTCAACGAGTATTTCTGTAAAATGTAATAAAATGTGTTCAAAGTTGATAATCATATTATTTCATTATGTAATTTCTTTCTACAGCTTGTTGATTGATAATCACAGTAGTTTTATCGATTAGTAAAGAAATTGGAAAGGGAAAAAAAAAGGTGGAGAGGTGGACAAAGAAGTTAGGGAAGATGTTGACGTCTTATCCATAAATATCCTCCAAAAATATCCAATCAGACCGGTCCCCATCACCCTCACAGCTCTTCCCCCTTCATTTATCTCTTTTCCTATAAGTTATTCCATTGAAGACAAACCCAAAACATCTAGGTGACTCGTTATATAATTTTTGATTCTAGGAAAATTTTAGGAAGGTTGTACAAATTTATAGGTTTAAGATGATTTCTACTAAGTTTAATTTTACGAAATCAAGTTGGGACTAATCACAATTTGGTTATACATTACCCAAAAAAATCATTTTGGACTATTCTATCAAGTAGACAGAAACCAAAATATACAAATTTACCAATTTATATCCTGTAGATATTTTTTCAGAAAATGCCAAAAAGAAGCATTGATTACAATTTATTTGCAATGTAAACTACTTATAAACCCAAAAAGGAGCATTCTTTATTTCAAACATGAAAAGGGTTTGTTTGGTTGTTCCCAAAATGTGCTCTCATAGTCAATAACATAACAAGCAAACAATAAAAGAAAGTAGAGTAATGCAAAAGAGCAAATACCGCTCTTTTCTGATACAACTTGAAGAGAGTTTTAACATTAACCATTCAAACAAATACATTACCTTCTTCCCCTTCTGAAGTAGCTTTGCATCCCAAAACCACTAATAGTGTGCATTCAGATTTTATTTTCATGGAGAATAATAGCAAATGTCCTGCAAAAACGTCAATTTTGTAAGACAAGGACAGAGCAGAAGCTAGTTACGGAAACTAACTGTTCATTACTGCTCAAGTTCTTGAATACCCAAAGAAACTATATACAGAGCTTAAAACGGGAAAGTCTACCATTTCACAAATTCAATCAACTAAGGTTGCGTAAAATCTAGATATCTGCTTTTAAGGTTGCAACAGAAGATTAAAAGAGAGCAAGATGAATCAGCAAAGACTGGAGATGCAAACCTCTGATTAACAAGGTACTTAAGCAGCAGCCTGTAGCAACTCCCTTTCAGCTCGTTCCCTGATCCTTCTCTCGAGCTCTGGCCTAAAGTGTCTTATCAGACCTTGCACGGGCCATGCAGCTGCATCACCCAATGCACAGATTGTGTGTCCTTCGATCTGTTTGGTTACCTCCTGCAGCATATCAATCTCTTCCAGCTTTGCATTGCCAACTTTCATTCTCTCCATGATCATCCAAAGCCAACCTGTTCCCTCTCTGCAAGGAGTGCACTGCCCACAGCTTTCATGCTTGTAGAAGTAAGAGAGCCTTGCAATTGCATCCACAACATCAGTTGATTTATCCATCACAATGACTGCTGCAGTTCCTAACCCTGATTGGACAGCCTTGAGCGCATCAAAATCCATCAGCACATCCTCGCAAATGTTCTTAGGAATCAGAGGAACAGATGAACCACCAGGGATGATAGCAAGTAGATTGTCCCATCCACCTCTAACACCTCCACAGTGCCTCTCAATCAGTTCCTTGAGAGGTATACTCATCTCCTCTTCCACCGTGCATGGCTTGTTTACATGGCCCGATATACAAAACAGCTTTGTCCCAGCGTTATTTTTCCTACCGAAACTAGAAAACCACTCAGGTCCACGCCTTAAAATGGTAGGCGAAACAGCCACTGTTTCCACATTGGTAACAGTAGTGGGACAACCATATAAACCAGCATTAGCAGGGAACGGAGGCTTCAACCTAGGTTTTCCTTGCTTCCCTTCAAGGCTTTCAAGAAGGGCAGTCTCTTCACCACAAATGTAAGCACCGGCACCAAAGTGGATATAAACATCAAAATCATAACCAGAACCACATGCATTCTTCCCCAAGAGACCAGCTGCATATGCTTCTCTTCTAGCCTTCTCTAGATTCAAACGCTCATTCACATATTCACCCCTGATGTAAATATACGCTGCACTTGCTCTCATTCCGACACCAGCAATTAAACACCCTTCCAACAATTTGTGAGGGTCATGACGCATGATCTCCCTATCTTTACAAGTTCCAGGCTCACTCTCATCAGCATTGACAACCAAATAGGAGGGACGGCCATCAGAAACTTTAGGCATAAAGGACCACTTAAGACCAGAAGGGAAACCAGCACCACCACGTCCACGAAGACCCGATTTCTTCATTTCATTGACAATCCAATCAGTACCCTTGAGTACCAAATCTTTGGTCCTATGCCAATCACCTCTCTTCATCGCGCCTTTGAGAAATGGGTCATGCAGACCATAGAGATTAGTAAAAATCCGATCTTCATCCGTGAGACCACCGAAATGAGTCTTTTCCGGGGGCGGAGGAGGTGGAGGTGGCTGTGGAGTGGTAGAAGTGGATGCAGCTTGAGTGCTGAATGATCTCAAAGCTGGAGCCACTCTGTTAATTTCCTTCCAAATGGACACTGCCCTTTGCAAGCCAAGAATCCCCCTCACGGGTGCCTATCATCAAACCCATATAACAGAGACGTTCAATGGCAAATTAATTCCAACTAACAAACAATGGAACACATGATCTACTTTAAAAGCAAAAAAAATTGAAGCACGAAATCAGTAAAATTGCAGAGAAATCGCTGTTTCAACATGAGAAAACCAAACTAAAGGAAGTGAATAAACCCAATCGCTCTAAATGGATAATCTTGAGCAGATCAAAATTCCAATCAATCATAACCAGCTAGATCTAAGAAGATGCCGCATTTTGAAATCATTCAGCTGAATTCGAGATAGATACAATCAAAGTCTTAAATTCGGAAAACCCTAACAAATGCGATCGAGAAAAAAATCGTAAAACCTAGAAATGAAAACGAAGATCATCAAAGTGAGTGCGCGAAAACAGATTGCTTACCATGGAGACGAAATTTCCGAGAAGTAGTCGTACAGAGAGAGACTGGTCTTTGGTTCCTGAAGCGTGAAGGCCACAAGAATGGGAGCTTGAACAGACGGAGTTATAATCACTGCCCACCTGAGACCGACGAACTCGAGATAAACTGGTTGGATTAGATTAGTCCGCGTCTTCTTGACGTTAACTTTTCTATGTTTTATGGGCCTCCCTTGTTGGGTCAGGCCCAAATATTCCTGTCCAAAATTTCCATGATGGTCGAATTTCAAAATTTAATGAACTATAGGGGATAATTAGCATTTAGAAACATATGAGGCGTCTTTTTATAATTTTCTTAATTTCCCAAATCGGGCCGGCGATTATCAGAGGCGGTGGTTCGATAGGGAGAGGAGGAAACTGAAGCGATCTCGGCCCAATTTTGATCAGCTCGTCTCAACGATTATAGGGTTTCTTGGTGTTCGACGACTGCTTGAGTTTCACGTTTTTTGGTGAGTACCGTCTTATCTATTATCTCCAATATTTTGATGATTCAGGCTCATGGTTTATGAAAATTGCCCTGTTTTACACCAGACAAGGATCAACATAAGCGAATTCTTGTGTTTGGCTTTAATTTAACCCTGAATTTCGATGATATAAATATTTCTGATTGTATTTAGGTTTTGATTTGTTATGGGAGATTCCTCGGTTTCGACAAGTTCATGGGCTGCCATTGACTCTGCTAATAGGTTTCCGGTATAAGTCATTTCTTGATTCATCTCTTCTTTTTGTGCTGCATTTAACCTATTTACATTTTGTAACTGTTTAGTGGTAGGAAATTTTTGGGTCTGTTTCTAGTTGTGTTGAATAGACTACAAGAAGTATGCAAAACTGAATGTGCATTCCTTTTGTTTTTTTTTTTATTTGACAATTGAGTTTATAATATGTTCAGGTGTCGAACGTTATGGGTGAGTCCTCTGGATCAAGCAGTTCATTGGCTGCTATAAATTCGTCCAATATTGGGTTTCAGCTCCTAAAGAAGCATGGCTGGAAGGAAGGCACTGGTCTTGGAATCACTGAACAGGGTATATTGGTGCCTGTACAGGCAGAGCCAAAACATAACAAACGAGGACTGGGAGCTAAACAACCAGCTAAGAGAAAACCGGCACAGCCTCAGGCTAAGGTCTTTTTTTTTTTCTTAAATCCTTACAGGCGATTGCCTTTAAATCTGAAAATACCTAATGATGAAAAAGTGTCCATGCATTGATAAAGAGTCTGCATCAACCACACTTCATATCTCAATAGTGCTGGACTTGGTTTTGGTTTATCACGTTGCCATGAGCTTTTATGTTTCATTTGTTTTAAGTTAGGCATATAAACTTATCTTTTCTTTACTATAAATTTCAGGATGAAGAAGTCTCAAAGCAGAGCAAGAAACTTTCAAAGAAAATGCGGAAGATGATGGAGCACGAAAAACATTTACAGGAAAAAGAATTTGAACGAGCCTTCTGTAGGGAGTTCTGGCCCGATAATGTATAACTAGGTTTTATTCTTTAGTACCTGGATGTTCCAAAAGCTTCTGTATTTACTGCAAATTTAGAAATACTCTCTTCTATTATTGCCTTACCAATGAAGAAAAATAGTTATAGAGTCATGCCAAATTCATACCTTTAGACATTTATAAAATGGAAAAAGAAAATGAAGTTGATGCAGACACTTCAAGCAAGTTTTTGTTTGCAAGTTTCTAAAGTGTATGTTCATGTGCCTTGCATTGGCTTACTCATGCATTTAGCATGCCCAGATCACTTCAAATTGTGAACCAAAAAATTAATAATAATCCGATTTAACATGAGAGTAAACAAAAATTCTAGCTTGTGTGGTAATTAAAAGACTTCAATAACGAATTCCATTTGTTATATGTCTGCTAAATTCACTTTTTCTTCTTGTTGAAATAAATGGGCCGAGTAAGCAAGGCCCATTAATACCCTCTTAAATAAATTGAAATTGTTATATCTTCTTCCTTCACCTTCCGTCGTAGTTCCCCGACTAGCTAAGTACTGTAGAGCTCCGCCGCATCCGAAGCCGTCTTTTCAAATCGTCGAGCTTCAACAATGACGTCTCTTCTCCTACCTTCATCTCAATTTCTCCAGACTCGTAGCCAAAACAATGGCCAAACATTGCTTCTCCCTCGAACACCACTTTTCGTCTCACTTCCTTCTCTCCGTCAGCTGAGACCGAAACACCCCTCTATTTCCGCCGCAGCTCCGAAAAAACAATCGGATACTGTCACGACGCCGACGCCGACGGCGAAGAAGAATTCGAGCGTGGAGGAGGAAACAGAAGAGGAAGTAGAGGAGGATATGTTGTGGATTCAAGAGAAGGCGTTAGACCTAGTCGAGTTCACTGGATCGGTGACTCAGGCGATTCCAGGTCCTCGAGTTGGAAGTAGCAAATTGCCGTGGATGCTCGCCGTTCCGTTAGCTTACGCCGGCGTCACTTTCGTCACTGCTTTCGTCAAAACCGTTCAGAAGTTCTCTTCTCCTAAAGCTCAACGCAAGAAACTGGTCTCTGATTCCACTCTCTCTTTTGTGATCCTTACTTGAACAACAAAAAACTGATTCAATTTTGTCTGTTTCGAATCTCTTCAGGTGAATCAGAATGCTATGCTTTGCAGATCTATAGATGAGCTATTACGGAAAGATGGAACAGTGCATAGCTCTGAGCTTAAGGCACTTGAACAAAAGGTGCGAATATATAACATGTCACTGATCTTCTGGTTTGATCTCTTAACCATTCCAGTTCAGGATTTGATATGAGAATGCTGAATTTTGTTTTCTACAATCCAGACAGAGTTTAACATGGAGGAGATATTGAGGAAATACATTCGGTATGCGTTGAATGAGAAACCGTTTAATCCTGACCTTGTTGCTGATCTCATTCATCTAAGAAAAGCTTCTGGTTTGAATGATTCTCAGATTCCTGAGATTTTAAATGAGATCTCTCGTCGTATTGTCAAAGAAAAAGGTAACTAAAACTTTGTTAAAGGCTCTCCATTGTTGCAATCTTCTTTATTGCTCTTGACATATTTGGTTTTGGCAGGTCCGGTAGTGATGAAAATGCAAGGGTTTACAGAAAAAGGATTCAAGAGAAAACTCGCTGTGCAGGCGCTTTTTGGAAAGATTTACTATCTCTCTGAGGTAATCAATGTGGAAACATTACTTATACTTGAGAGAATCTGCTTACTCTTTCAACATCTTCATTGATCTAATCATGAAGTCAGATATGCATACACTGTTTTGTATATGCGATAGATTTTCTAACTCCATTCTCTTTTCAACAGCTTCCTGACTTCTGCTCAAAAGACAACTCCTTAATCGTCAAGGAAATATTTGGAGTTACAGAGTAAGTTAACTCTCAAATTGCACCTTTATTCTTATGCTTTTACAATATTCCTTTTACTTGACATTCTCTACAAAACATTTCAGCGAAGACGCAGAGAAGCTGCGGATACACGCCCTTGCTGAAGCTGGAGATATAGAGGCACTTGAGAAAATGGTGGAATTTGAGAAAACAGCCGAGTCTTCTTCGGATAAAGAAGAAGATTCAAATGAAGAAGATGATTCTAACACCACTTCCTAAGATGTTTGTTCAACGACCAACTTCAACATTAGGATTTTTTTCCAAAGGGGGTTTTCTTCTTCTGTTCTTTGACTTATATCCCAAGTTGTGTTGTTTACAGCAGAAGAGTCTGATTCCAACAGAAATTGCCCTTTTGCAAAAAAGCATGACACAGCTTGTAATAGAAATTTACTGCATCTAAAATGCAGCACAACAATACAAGTTGTGGCTTATATTCATAGAAATTATTTTGTCTTTGCTAAATCTAAACTCATACAGATATAAAAGGAAAAAAAAAAAAAAGACTACAGATACTTTAGCTTCTATATTTATGATAAACAAGCACAGAGGTTACACTTACATTAAGCCAAAGTTAGTGTAATTAAGCCAAAGTAATAAAACTCTTCTGTGTCTGAAAATGGATTCCGGAAGCTTTTGGTGCTAGCCTAATACATCTTGAAATGTAAAATCCTAGGGAAAATTTCAGTTTCCTGGACTCCAAAAGTTGTAATCTTCGATGTTGAAGTCGATGAGGCTTAGCTGGTACAGTCCGAAAGGTGTAACTGATAACCTGAGGCTAAAGATTTCTGAGTTGACTTTCCAGTTTCCCATCAATAAAATTTTCACTAAACGGCCTCCTTGAGGTTGAATGTTCTGACAATTTCCCTGGCATGGTCATGTTCATGGAGCTCTACTAGTATTCTCTTTAACCTGCGGGCGAGACCAGTGGTTTCTGCATCGTCCAGTCCTGAGGCAAGCCTTTTCTCGAGAATTCTTCTGAGTGTCAGAGTACAATCCACAAGAGGTTGCAGTGGACGACTGCAAAGTCAAATAAAATATTTTAGTATGTATCAAGGCGAATGTCAACATAATGTGGTGATGTCCAAAAATGAGATGCAGATATCATGTGAACCAAATGAAGATAAACAATGAAATGATTGGTCTAAGACGAATGAGATTCCAAAAAAGTATAAAGACCATAGCCCGACCAATACTCCTAATTTCGAAAGAATTGCCCAGATTTTGTAAGATAAAGTATGTAATGTAAACATCTTAGTCCCGATTCGACAGCTTCACTTTACTTACTCTTGCATTGGCACTCGTAAAAAACAAGATAACTTTTCATGCAAACGGACTGTAATTGTATTGGTAAACAATATGCAACATCACAAGATGTAACTATAATGTTTCACTACAATGAACCATGAGAAACCTTCATGTGTGAGAAAGTAAAATTTCAGATTTGAATTTGATTATTAAATCAGTGTTACCTGTGGGTTCTTGTGACGCTTGGTCCTGTCCATACTCCAGACAAAGAAGCAACGATTCTTTCAGTTCTTGTCACAGCATCATGTATATTTGATGCAATGCTTCTGACATGGGGTAGAACTTTTCCAAACAAAAGGTCACTAAGAGCCAAGTTCTCCAACACTGAAAGCGCCAGAATGTCTTTCCACATACATATATTTCTCATCAGACGGACTGATGTCCCAAATCTATATGCTGCAACTTGTGGAGCATTAGGTACAGCCTTCAATACCAGCGGATCCCATGTCGGAACCTGGAGAATAAAGAAAGAATCAGAGGATATCATTAGTCCAGAATCTCATAACAGACTCAATGAGATCAATTACGAAATTAGCAAGAGATGTAACAAATTAAAATTCATACGCTAATAGCTGCAATGGCTTCAACAAGGCGAGCACGAATAGCAGCAAATAGTTCTGCTAAGGCCTCACTCGAAGCAGAAACATAATTTGTCACCAAGCTTGTAGCAGCAACAGCATTTCTTGTCTCCCGGGTGCTAAGTATATCCCAGCAACGAACTATCTGATGGTGCAAAATGGGTATCGCAACCTTTTCTACTAGCTCAGGGACAAGGTTGGCATCAGTATCATCTGGTGCAAAATCATCCCCATCTTCTGGCTTCCCGTAATCAAATAGCAATCCATGCCTGGAGACACAAATCACAAGTTAGATCACTTCCAAAAATGCAAAAAAAAACAATGTTTTTAGCTAACCCTCTTAAGAGACTAATGCCTACTAGATAGTATATGTAAACTGTGTCTGAGAATGAATGTTTGGATAATTAGGAAAGTCGGAAACTGCGAGTAGCTCACCATTTCATGTCAAAGAAATCCACATCTTGATGAAGAGGATCCCATTTCAAAAGCTCCAGTCTTACATAAGGTGAAAAGATGGAGGGAACGGTCAAAGACATGTAAGCATCCCGATAAGTTGATGAATAGTCTCGCTTCCACCTCTCAAATCTCGCCTTCACCCTTGAAAGCTGGGAGTACTCCTCAGATGCATCACTAAAGACCTTATCAGCACACTGAAGTAAGCTATCTCTTGTCTCCTTATAAGCTGAAGTCTCAGTGTCACTCTCATCGGTGCTTGATTCTCCTTCTATTTTCAGAGAAGATCCTTCAATCTCCATGGCTGATGCACGCTTGTTTTCAAATCGAGCTCGCCTTTTCTGCCGGGCTGCAGCCCTCTGTTCCACTTCCCTGCGCTTCTGCAGATTTTCGTCTCTGCCAAATTCATCAAGCTTAACTGGTTGATTCATCTGCTGTCTTATAGAAGCAGAGGCAGCCAACGCAGCACTTGTGGCAGCAGCAATCACTGAAGTACTGCTTCCTTGTTTGTTTAGAACTGTCATTGCTGCTTTCACAGCGGCCCCCAACTCTATCATTTCATCATTGTTATCTGCAATTCTCCTTTCCAGAATAGATAAAGCATGTTTTTCGTTAAGTTCCTTCATCTGATCTTCAATTTCTTCAATTAAGGAACCCTTGTTCTGCAAAAAAAAATTCACAACAGTAATTAGGAGTTCTGTTCTAACAACAACGTAGGCTTCCAACTGTCTTTACACATAGGGCAATCCAAAAGCAGTGTAGATAAAAATATGGTAGGGTTCACAACTGGTCGTTCGTTTTCATAGTTGGACAAAACTTAAAAGAATGACCAGCTAGAAGTTCCATTCTATGAAGGTATACGTTATGCATAAAGAATCCATACAGCTCTATATGGGAA